CCAAGCAAGTGGAGTTTGTGCTACATCAAGATATTCTGTGCTATTTATTTTTCCCTCCTTTGACGGTATATTCTTGTACAAGTCCCATTGCCATGCCAGGCAATGTGTTTTCTGTTCTTGCCTTCACCAGTTCCCACAATTTTCCATGCGTAGCTTATTTCATCCAACAGTAATGCACAGAACCTACAGAAAATGGCAACAAAGCAACAGAGAGGCTGGAGCTCTTCCCCTTCATTTTTTGGGCGCCAAGCATACACATCAATATAGAAAGTCCCTTCTGTTAGCAGCTTTCAGTCTACAAATCCTTTCAATTTTAGGCACAAAGCATTCCATGCTGTTATGCACTTCAGATTACTTACAACATTCTAACCTCCCTCTGGGTGTTTAGGTAAAACAACAGCCTTGCAGGCAATAGCTTTGCCAGCTTGCTCCAGCAGCTTTCTGCACACTTGTGAGAAGTGCTACTTCTGCTGAGTTTCCTAAAACAAATGAATACAACCCATCTGTCCCCACTGTTTGCTTGCTGCTTTTTCCTAGGGGGAAAAAGAGGAGAAAGGAGGAAGCGCTCAAGGTTTCTGTTTCTCTTCAGGCCTTTTATCAAATACAGAGTACAGCTAATTACTGTAACGGTAAGGCAGCTGTTCTGTGTTCCCAGCCACCTTGATAGAAGCTGTAAGACATTTGTTTCATCTGAAATTGGCAGTGCACTGAGGTAGGGCAGCTGCTGGTCATGAGACCAAGCAATCTTGTGCTAAGAGGAAGAGGAGCTGAACTAATTAGAGGAGGAAGCTCAGAGAAAACACACAGAAGAGGCAAGGCAAACCAAAGCCACATTTTCTGACAACTTCAGGAAGAATTTAACAGGCAGCCACACCAAGAGGAGGCAGAACAGCTTGAGGAATGCTTACAACTTGTGAGATCGAAGTGGAGCAGCAGAAAATCATTGAGGTTGACAAAGACCCCTGAGATCACGCAGCCCAACCATCCAACTACCAGCAGTTCTGCCTGGTAGGCTGCACAGGGACGGTCAGCCACCCATCACAATGCCCGAGCACTCCTGCAGAGAAGCTTTTCCTAAAATCCAACCCGACAGACTCCGCCAGCCGCATTCAGAGGACCAGAGACACGGCAGCAAGATTCGGGTTCCACCTTTAGAAAAGGCAGCATCTTCGCCAAGGGATCGATCACCCGACTGGAAACGATTCCCTCACACAGAGGCAGGGCTCAATACCCGGATTTCAACGACTACTTCACGACATTAACTACTCTACGACATTAGCTACTTTATGACACGAGCTGGAACAGGTCTGCAGCCGCCCCGCCCCGCCCCAGGCCCACCGAGGAGCCCCGGCCCGGTCCTCCGGCACTCACTGTACTGCGCGATGCGCTGCACGTTGCCGCTGCATGTCTGAATGATAGCACCGAAATCCCGCGGCGGGGCCGTCGGCCCGGCCCGGTAGGGATCCAGCGGCCCGTACGACATGACCGGGCGACTGACGGCTGCTCCGAGCCCGGCTGCCAGCACCCCGCCGCTCACCGCGCATGCGCGACCTCTGCTGACGGAGCGTCCGCCCTAAGCCGATGGGACGCTGCCTGCGCATGCGCGGGCGCGGCCGGGCGCGGCCTCCGGTTGCCATGGTGACGGAAGCGTCTCAGAAAGGCGTGAAGGCCGCAAGCTGTGTCGCAGCCCTGAACGTGGAGTCGGCTGCGCTCTGACACTGGCACACGGCTCAGCACCACCATGCCGCTCCCAGGGAGGTTGTGGATGCCCCATCCCTGGGGGCATTCGAGGCCAGGCTGGATGTGGCTCTGGGCAGCCTGGTCTGCTGGTTGGTGACCCTGCATGTAGCAAGGGGTTGAAATGAGATGAGCATTGTGGTGCTTTTCAACCCAGGCCTTTCTGTGATTCTGATTCTGATTCTTGCTCGTCTTCTCAGCAGCAGCAGAGGGAGAAAATGACATGGAACAACTCTTGGGTTGAGATAGGATGGGGAGATCGCTCACTGGTTACTGTCACAAGCAAAACAGACTCAGTGTATGGAGGTTAATGTGATTTATTGCCTACTGCTAGCAGACCAGAGCAGCGAGAACTAAAGGCAACACATACCCCCTCCCATCTGTGTTCTACCTCCCCCTCACCCAGCAGCACGGCACAATGGGGGCTGTGCTCAGCCCATATCACCCCATCTCTGCTGCTCCTTCCTCCTCACCATGTCCCTGTCCCAGCGCAGGGTCCTTCCCACACGGTGCTGTCCTTCCCAAACTGTGTGAGCTTCCCACAGGCTGCAGATCAAGCCCCGCTCTAACACAGCTCTGTATCACAGGGCCCGTTTTTCAGGGGCTGCTCCAGCATGAGGCCTATAGGCAGCAGCTCCCCCAGCCCTCCTGCAGTCTTCACCCTGGAGCCTGATCCTGTGGGACCTCTTTGCACTGTGGGCTCCTCCATGGCTGCACGTGGAGATCTGCTCCACATGGTGCCCCTGGGCTGCAGAGGGACAGTTTAGAATTAAGCTTTATCCTTAATCTTTCAGTTATTGTTATGCAGCCAAAGACAATCACAGAATCAAAGGGTGCTTGAGGTCAGTCAGAAGGGACGTCAGGGTCCCTCTGGTCCAACCCCTGCTCGAGCAGAGACACTGGATCTGCTTGTCCAGGACCACATCCACGTGGCTTTTAAAGATCTCCATGGAGGAGGTTTCACGCCTTTTCAGACAGCCGGTTCCAGGGCAGAAATACACAATAAAAATAATGACATCCTGATGTTCAGATAGGATCCTCCTATGTACCGGTTTGTGCCCCTTGCCTCTTGTCCTGGCACTGGGCACCACAAGCAAGAACCTGGCTCCATCCTCTTCACCTTCCCTCCAGGCATTTATGGTCATTAATAAGATCTCCCTGCTCCTCCACTTCTCCAGGCTGAGCAGCCCCAGCTCTCTCATCCTCTCCTCGTGACAATGCCCGCATAAAATGTCCCAAAACACATTAAAATAGAGAAATGTTTAGACAGGAGACATTGCTTTATTCTGCATGCAGCATAAGGAGAGAAACCCCCACAAATCATGCTCACCAAGTCTTCACACTGGTTTCTCCTTATAGTCATACCTACCTATTATATATTCATAAAATTATCCAAGTACCAATTACGTATTTTAATCTTCTGTATCTGAACAGGAGTCTTTGGTGATTGTTTGGAGAGGTGTCCCATTACTCACCTTGTCCATATTTGGGCACAGGATTTTTTAAGGACACCTAATCAGTCTCTTCTGATTGGTTTCTGTCTTGAATTTGTGCTCTTTCCCCACTTTATTGTAACCAGAGGTTCTGCTGGGGACTCTTTGGAGGCCACCCCCAGTTCCCATCAGTCAGAATCTAAATTCAAAGCTAGCAGATCTGCAACATGTGAATTTACTCCTTCCCATGGACCCCCCTTTGGTTTCTGATTTAACAGATGTTCTCTTTTTCTGTGTCCATGACTCCAGCACCCTGCATGGTGACCCTTCCTCAGTGATGAAACAGCTGAAATTGGTTCAAACTGTTTTTGCCTATTCTCCCTGCTTGAAAAATGACCCATCGCTGTCCTTTTGTCATTATATCCTCACCCCAGGGTGAGATTGGTACACCCACGTTTGGGACTAGGGTGAAGTCTCATACTGCCCACATGAAGCTGGAAAGAAGAGCATGAATGTACAGTCCCTGCAAGGATCCACAAAGCCCACAGCATCCCCCACAGAGCACATGGGAGTGAGCCCTGAATTTGTCCCTGGAATGAGTCCCCCAAATCCTGCATCCTCCCCTTATACCCATCCCTCCTACAGTGCCCAGCTGTACTCTGTATCTTGTACCTGCCTTTAGACCCTGATTCCTGTGTCCCACACTTTCACCCCAAATCCAGTTCTGCATCCTGCCCCCAAATTCAACATCTCCCAAACCCTACATCTTCACCCTAAATTCCCTATTACCCCACCAAGTCTGCATTCCCTCTAAATACAAGATCCCCCAAATCTCATTTTGCTCAAATCCCACAGCTTCACCCCAAATTCAGCATTTCCTCAAATCCCCCCTTTCACCTCAGATCCCACAGCTTCAACTCAAGTCCCATGTTGCTCTAAATCCTACAACTTTGCCATAAATCCTGCATTACCCAAACCCCACAGTTTTACCCCAAGTCTCACATTGGCCAAATCCTTCAGTTTTATCCCAAATCTCTCCATTGCATCCCAACTCCTGCAAGGCCCAAGTCCCACAGCTTCACTTCAAATACTTGGTTGCCCAAATCCTAGCTTTACTTTGAATCCTGCAGTTTGCCCCAAGTTCCCGTCACCCCAAATCCTGTTTCATCCCAAATCCCCCAGCTTTGCCCCAAGTCCCTCTTTGCCATAAATCTCCCAGTTTCACCACAATTCCCCCACTTCCATTCCAGTCCCTGCAGGATACTGCAGCTGCTCCTGCCCAGCTGGTCAGTGATGCCCAGGCTGTTGTACACCAGGTGCTGGAGAGCAGCAATGCCAGCACAAAGATCCAGGCATCATTGTGGCTGTTGCCCTGCACCCGCAGCTCTGTTTTTGGGGGCCAGCCATCAGAAATCCACAGAATGCCCCAGAAGGTTCCCAGAACGGATAGGGAGCCCTGGTTGAGGCTGGCCAGGTGTTTCATCATTTGCCACTGTGATAGGGCTCCTGACGGCCACCATCACCGGGGGCTGGAGCACCTCCTGCAGTGCCGTGGGGTTGAGGGTCAGCGCCCTGACTGTTTTCCAGCCAGTCCCCAAGCAGCAGCAGCCCACCTGACAAACTCCTCTCACTTTTTCAAGCTGTCCTTCTGTACAATGTCCTATGGAATGGAATATTCCTTTGGTCAGTGGGTGGAAAGTGTTCTCCCTTATTCCCTCTGTAGCCTGGTGCCACAAGGAGACAGAGCAAAGCGTAATTACTCATAGCATCCAAGATACAGGTCCTAAAGTACAAAGATCACTACAGCGTTGAGCACAAACACCAGATTAGTTCCCAGTCAGCAGTTTTATCATACTGAAAGCCAAAATCACAAAGCACAGCAAAATGACAACTTCAGTGCAACTCCTGGAGATGGTAAACAACTCGACTGACACATAAATATCAAGTGCTAAATGATATAGTTCCAAGAAAACACTGAAATATCTGTGCAAAAAAAATGCCATAATAATTAGCAATTATCAGGCTCATATCATACTGAATATTCCTTTGGCCAGTTCAGGTTAGGTATCTCAGTTCTGTCCCCACCCAACTCCTTGCATCCCCCACAGCCCTCCTCACTGGCAGGGCAGTAGGAGAAACTGAGAAACTGAAATGTCCTTGGCTCTGTATAACACTGCTCAGCAATAGCTAAAACATCAGTCCATTATCAGTACTGTTTTTCTCCTAAAGCCCAAACACAGCATAAACACAATGAAGGAAAATTCAACGCCATCTCAGCTGAAGCCAGGTCACAGAGGCAGGTGACTGGGTTACAGGATGCGCTTCATCAGCTTGCCTACAATGTCCGCTGCCTTGCCGACCACGCCGGGCAGGAAGAGCGAAGCCACGTTGACCAGGAGGCCCACAGCCGAGACAATCCATGTGTGGTTTTCAGTGCTCTGCTTCTCCTCCCTCAGCCTCTTGATCTGCAGCTGCATTTGCTCTGCATCATGCTTGTAACCCTCCTCCATCAGTGCCTGATGTTCCTGTGGGACAGAGAGTGCTGTTGGTACCGCTGCACAACGCCACAATACAGCCACAACGTTTGCTGGTACCATTGCACAACACCATCATCCATGGCACAGCCACAACATGCTGGTTCCACCACACAAAGCTGTCACAGCGCTCACCTTCAGGTAGTGCTCCAGCAGGCGGTTTTGCTCCTTCAGCCGCAGGCGCTGCTCCTCCAGCAGTTGCTGCTGCAGCTGCCTGCAGTGCTCCTCCAGGCTGCGTTGCTGCTCCTTCAGGCACTCTGCCTCTGCCTCCCTGGCTGCTGCTTCCTTGGCTGCTGCTGCCTCCTTCTGCCACTCCATCATCATCATGCGAGCATCGGCCGCATGCAGTGCCTGTGCCAGTGGCTCACGATCTTGCAGGAACACGTCCAGCACTGCATCCGCCTGATGGTACAACTATGAGGCACCGCCTGCATCGCCACACCAGGCTCCATCACACCCCACTCACCTTAACACCCTTCTCAGGCCACCACTGGTACTTATCCAGGACATGGCACAGATCATCCTGGAACAGCTGTGCTCCGCCTGGTGCTGTATAGTCCCCACACTGCAGATGGTGCTCCACGTCCTGCCACAGCTCCCGCAGCACCGCCCGACAACGCTGCTCCGATGCCTCCTCATTGCGCCAGCAGAACTCCTCCTTGGCCGCCTCCAGCTGTCGCTGCACCACAAAACAGGTCTGAATCAAAGAGAAATTGCCCCAAGAACCCCACGGCGTGACAGTGACTCACCATCAGCTGACACTGGTAGGTGCGCTCATTGTCAGCAAAGGCACGGGACAGGAAGATGGTGACAGCACGGCGCTCCCAGCGCCGGTGCACATCCACCAAAGTGGCACGCGAGTCCGTGGGCAGCACCAGGTCCTGATCCATGCCCTTCTGGTACTCAGCCACTGCTGCTGCCACTGCCGCGGTGTTCTCGGTCCTTGCCAGTGCTGTCACTGCGCTCTCCACACAAGGCACTTTACCTTTCACAATGGTAGCCACATATTTCTCCACCAGGGAAGCCAGCACTGTGGGAGACACCATCACTGAGACGCATCACACCCACACACATCCCCCGTGTGCCACACCATCCTCATGCCACCGCCACTCACTGGTGCCCGTCACCCGGCGCCCGCCTGGCAACTCCTTCACCGGCGCCTTCTCCCAGATGTGCTGGCAGAAGGCAGCTGCCTGTTGCCGGAAGCGTGGCTGCAGTTCATCCTCCCGCATCTCCTCCAGTCGTGCCAGGTTTGCATCAGCCGTCGGTCTCTCCAGCACAAACAGCTTGCGGTTTATGAAGAAGGCGCACAGGCAGCGCCGCAACTCATTGTGCTCCTGCACCACGCGCCCATTCCCTGCATTGCCAACATCAGCACGGTGCCACCACCCGTAGGGACATATGGTGACACATGGTGATGGCCGTACCGGACTTTAAGACCAGTGCATCCTTCAGGTACTCATCCTCAGTCAGCACACGCTTGCCCTCCCGCAGCTGCAGTGTGAAGTCACGCACGGCCCAGACGAAGCTGGGGAAGACACGGCTGAACTCAGTTGCTGGATCTTCATTCTCCACCCTCACGCGTATGTGATTCGTCAGCTCTGTCACCAGCCTGCAAGACCCATGTCAGTGTTATCACCACGTCAGCGCTGTCACCACCATGGGAACACTGTCACTACCCTCCCGCTCATCCCCATACCGCAGCTGATCCAGCGCCTGCTGGTTGATAGTGCCCATGCTGTTGTACACCAGGGTGCTGGACAACAGCACTGCCAGTGAGAAGATCCAGGCGTCATTGCTGTTGTCACCCTGCACACACAGTTGCGTTTAGGAGGGTCCAGGAGGCTGTGAGAGGGCCTGGGTCTGCTTACCCCTGGCACCCACCTTGTGGGGATCTCCCAGCCCCTCGGTATCCAGCAGCACCAGTGCCACACCATGCTGGCGTGGGTGCGGCAGGCACCACATCCAGATGCCCTTGGTCTCCGCCCGCACTGTGGGGCCCAACGGGAAACCTGTGGGCAGTGAAACCATCAGAAATCCCCCAAGTGCCCCCAGACATGCCCCACATGGATGTGGTTCCCCTGCACCAGCTCACCAGTACGCCGCTGTGCCAGCCGGTTCATCAAGAAAGACTTGCCAGTGCGGTAGGGCCCGGCAATGGCCACAACCACCACGGGCTGGGTGATACCACGTAGCACTGCCAGTGCTCTGGGGTTGAGTGACAGTTTGTTACTGTCACCGTTGTACACCAGGCAAAGTGGGGCTGGCATCGGGGACAGTGGGTGGGGGGATGGTGCTTCCACCCAGGCCGCATCCTCCTGCCGTTGGGTGGTGTCACCATCGGTGTCATCATGTCGTGGGGAGGTGCTGGCCTGGGGGATGTCATCCTGTTGTGGGATGGTGTCACTGTTGTCAGTGTTCCTCAGGAAAGTGTCATCTTGCCAAAAGTTGGTGGCTGTGGGCCAGTTGTCACCAGTCTCCTGTGTAGGGACAGCACAGTGTAGGAACACAGAGACAACACGGTGTTAGGACATGGGAACATGGAGACAATGTGGTGTGGGGACATGGGGACACCATGGTGTCTCTGTGCCCCCATCTACCTGCTGTGCCATCTCCTTGGCCTCCTGGCAGAGCCGCCCAATCCGCAGCACTGCATCCTCTTGCATTGCATCCACCACTCGCTCTGCCAGCGCTGCCAGGTCTGGGAACATGGCATCCTTAGAGGGGGTCCCACAGTATCACCCCCATAAACCCTGAGAACCTCCACTCACAGGCACCGCCCACTTCTGCCCCTCCAGGCTCTGTTTTGGGATCACAGCCCAGCAGGTGGGTGCAGAGCTGGGTCAGGCCCTCGGCACTGCTTTCGGACACACGGAACAGCTTCTGCTCAGGGAACAGTGTCAGGACACAGCGTGCCACAGGGCCTGTCGGGACAAAGAGACAGTTGGGTGACATGGGGACAGGAGTGGAAGAGGTGGCTGTGAAGATCTAGGGATGCAGAGACGTGGGGACTGGGGACATGGCAACTGGGGACACAGCGCACCTGGGGGGCTGCGCAGGGCTGGCTCCAGCTTGTGGTCCTCATCCCCCAACAACTCCTCATCCTTGGGTGCCTGGGCTGTGCTGCACAGGCTCCAGACGAAGGGTGGCAGCACGAAGCGCAGCAGATGGTCTTCATCTTCTTCATCCTCCTCCTCCTCCAGCAGGCGCAGATGGTGTGGCAACTTCTGGGCGTAGCTGCACAGTGAAGGAAAACAGGAAAACAAACAAGAAAGACCTAAAGGGGAAAAAGGACCACACCCCGAACATAGGATACGTGAGGAGCTCTAGCTGTTCCTGTGCGTCACCATTGCCGTCACCACTGCCATAAACCAGCACGCTGCCCAGCAGCAGCTGCAGCATGAAGAGCCGCAGCCCGGCGCCATCCTGCGAGGGGGGAGGAATTAGGGGCGAGAATTGGGGGTCGCTCAGTGGGACGGCGGATCGGGGCCGCCCCACCCCGGACCCCGCTAGTTACCTCCGGTTCCTCGCCCCCGAGGAATCCTCCGGCGTGCAGCAGCAGCAGTTCACGGTCGGGCCACTCGGGGTGCGGGCATCTCCACATCCACAGCCCAGGGCTGCCGGGGAAGCCTGTAGGGCAGCGGAAGGGATGGGGCGGAGAGGGCGGGGTCAGATCTCCGCCGACCCCCTTTAGGGTCCCCTCTCCCCTCTTCCCGGCTTCCACTCCCTTACCGCAGCCCGATCCCGACAGCTGCTCCATGAGGAACACGGAGCCCCCGTCGGGCGGCCCCAGCGCCGCCACCACGTGCAGGGGAGCGGGCAGGGCCCGCAGAGCCTCCAGACCCCGGGGGGAGAGCCGTATGCTCCCCCCCGGCCCGTCCGCAGCTGCCAACAGCAGCGGCTGCTCCATGGGTGCCACAGAGCTTCTGACAGTTTCTGTTTCGATTCCCGCCTGGTCCCGCCCTATGGGAGTGCTCCTCACGCCGGCTTCGCTGCTGTTTGCCTTTCCCCATTGGCCACTCCGCAAGCTAAAAGTGAAAGCTTGGCGGCTATTGGTTTTCCAGGCTGTCAGTAGGTGGAACACGTGCTGTGATTGGCTGCGGGGAGGCAGCATCGCAGCCACTTCTGGCGTGCTCACAGCCCTGCGGGTACGGGGTGGTTTGGGAGATATTTTGGGGGCAATTCGGGGCTTTCGGCACTTTGGTGAAGCTGTTCAGTTTTGATTTGGTGCGGGCCAGTGCTTTATTTGGGCTGTCTGTGTGTCTGTTGGTGCGTCCACTGCTGTACCGTGAGCGCTGTGAAGGGGATCCATAATGGATCAACATCATGTTAAGACTGTGGGCAAACGGGGCTCCTCACAAAACACAGGCATGGATGGGACACAGCGCAGCTCGGTCATTTCCCACACTGAACCTGTTTGTGACGCAGACTGATGTGAAATAGAACGCATTCCAGGAGAAGTAGAAGATAAAATCATCATAAAATCATCCAGTGAGGCACTGGAACAGGTTGCCCAAGGAGGCTGTGGATCCCCATCCCTGCAGGCATTCAAGGCCAGGCTGGATGTGGCTCTGGGCAGCCTGGGCTGCTGGTTGGCGACCTGCACACAGCAGGGGGTTGGAACTGGAGATAATCACAGAATCACAGAATCACAGAATCACCCGGGTTGGAAGGGACCCCAAGGATCATGTAGTTCCAACCCCCCTGCCTAGCAGGGCCACCAAACATACACATTCAGATCAGGTTGCCCAGGACCCCGTCCAACCTGGCCTTAAACACGTCCAAGGACGGGGCATCCACAACCTCCCTGGGCAGCCCGTTCCAGGGCCTAACCACTCTCCTAGTAAAGAACTTCCCCCTAACATCCAACCTAAATCTTCCCTCCTTCAACTTGGATCCATTTCCCCTAGTCCTGCTGTTGTCAGCCCTAATATAATTGTGATCCTTTTCAACCCAGGCCATTCTCTGATTTTACGATCCTCCCCAAATCTGCTGAATTACATTCCTAAGAAAGTTTTAAGAAAGTAAATCGAAGAGAAACAAGTATGAAGGTGTTGGATTGCAGTAACTTGTGCTGATGTGTTGTCTTTTAGATACACCAACAAAGCAAACTGTTGTCAAGACATAAAAACAAAGTCTGAAGGAAAGAACCAATACTGTGAAAGATTATATTATATGTATTTTCTATGGACGTGTTATCAGTTGTAACAACATTGTTAAGCTTGCTAGTGTTCATCGATGGATAACCCTGCTCTGCAGTTTGTTTAGATAACAAAGCTGTGTCTCTGAACTGTGGAGATAAGGAGGTTCTGCTGAGCCTTTGTACCATGGAAACAGGAGGTCCTGCTTGGAACCAGTCACTGAATATGTAAGACACTGAGAAACTTCAGCACGTGTCACACAAGAAATGTGTATAAACTGAAGGTCTTTTGTGTCAGCTATGCATGGCAGGAGGATTTACCTCCGTGCTTCCAGCGCTGCTGGTAAAGAATGTCTCCAACTGGAGGCTTAGTGAGTTTCCTGATGGACCATCTCACGCTACCAGGTCACAATAAGAATCCAGGTTTCTATCTCGGCTGTGTGACTTCGTAACCACACTGCAATAGTTCAGCTGTACAGCTGCTCTCCTGGGTGAGCTGCTCTTCTGAAAGAGCTTCCATTTCAGTGAGGTGCATTTGTTGTTATAAAACCCCACACTCCCTCTGTCCTCTGATGAACAAGATGCTCTCATCAAGGAGAAAAAGTGATCTTTCTCTTGCTGCTCTTTTGTTCTGATTTGTCAGTGCCAGCCCTGAAGGAGCAACAGACAACCAGCCTGCCCCTTGGAGACGTTTTGTTGTGTAAATTTCTGGCCTGATAATTTACGCATTGCACTGCCTGAAAGGACCAGCATCTTCTTTGGGTGCTTTTCTGCACCCAGAAATAGGGTTGTTTTTTTTTTTTATTATTATTTTTGGGGGGTGGGAGAACCAATAAAAATGGAAATGACAAAGGGAATCTCTGGGTCATGAGATTTCACTGCACACATGGACTGATGATCCATGGTGGAAGGGAGCACGGCTCGAGCTTCCTGATGGGTGCTCGTTCACTCTCTAAGTACAAAGAGCTTCCATCAACAGCAGGCATGAACGTTAACTGCTAAATCAATCCAGCCTTGCTCCAGGAGCAAACTGCCCGGAGGCGATCCACGATGCTCACCCAGCCTCCCAGTTCGCCCAGCGCTGCTGCTGGACTGGGCTGTGCTGCTCGCCGGGGCCACCGGGAGGCAGCAGCGCCCCGTGGGCCTTCTGGGTGACCCCGAGTGCCAGAGCTACCCTGCAGAAAGGGACAGGTCTTCTGAAACAGCCTCTTTAACCCAGTAGCCTGCAAGATGCCTGGCGTTTACATCGGGTCCTTGTGTGCTGGTGCTATGTGGTGCTCCTGCACCGAGCTGCTGTGCTTGGAGCAGGAGCTGCAGGGTCCAGCCCTTTTCTCCTAGCTGTCTTGTTGCCACTCTTACACTATGACAGAGGATTTACCTCTCTTTTCTTTTTTTCTTTCTTATTCCTGCAATGTTGTATATTTTAGCCTGAGTTCCAGTGATCTGTGAAAGCATAGGAAGGTCTTTTAATGCAAGGCCATCGCCTTGCACTGCAGCGCTCCTCCAGCATGCTCAAGTTCTTCAGAGTTCTCACGCAACTTCGATCTGGAGTGCAGAAATGAAGGAGCTGATGGAGCACTGTGCTGCAAAGGAGCGTTGTGCATCAAGGAGCATCATGCTGCAAGGAGCATCGTGCATCAAGGAGCATCGTGCTGCAAGGAGCATCATGCTGCAAGGAGCATCATGCATCAAGGAGCATCGTGCTGCAAGGAGCATCGTGCATCAAGGAGCATCGTGCTGCAAGGAGCATCGTGCTGCAAGGAGCCTCCTCTCTGCCTGCTGGCCGTGTCAAGCTGCAGGATAGAAAGCTGTGTCCCCTGCCTGCCACCCTTCCGGGCCCTGGGAGCTGAGCACACTGAAGCAGATGCAGAGGTTAACATGCTGAAAAATTGAGAAGGGCTTTTTCAGCTCTGAATGTTCTTTATTCTTTGCCATATACTGACACAAGAACGGAAAGTGCCTTTTCCTGAAATGGGCTATTTATAAACTTGACTTTCCTTGCCTTGAATTCACCCCAGGTCCTTCAGACTGAAGTGAATAGAGCAGATCATGCAGCCCATCTGCTGGGACACCCTGCATCACTGACAGCTTTTAAAAACTCTTTGGGAATACAATCCTCCAACCTGAAGCAGCCTTAAACACTTCAGCTGTGCAGTTGATGTTCACAGCCCTGGATTGTGGCAGAAGTTTTGCAGGAGAAATCAGGCATCTGTGGCAGTTGTGCCTTTAACAAATGCAACAGTTGTGTTTGCACAAGGGCTCCTCGGGGTGTATGGGCAGGATTCAGCAGTGGTTTCTAGCAGTTTCTTTTCAAGCCACTGAACACTGTGCAGCATTTGCTGCATGCACACACTTGGGGTGGCATTTGTCTGCTCTGGGGTGTGTAGCACACAGTCCCCAAGGCTTGCTTTGCTTTCCTATCACAGGAGGCAAATAGGCACCTTCAAATCTCACCTCTGTGAGATGCTTTCTGAGGATTTCACCACGTAGGGCAACACTGCCTACATTTCCCTGTGCCCCTCCAGCAGACCAGCAGCTCTGTGAGGCATTGCTGAGCTCCTCTTCTTCCTCTTCTTTTCATCAGAAACACTGAGGAAGACTGTGTTTAATTATTAAAACTACTGCTCCCTCCCTGACCTAACTGTGTCCCCTTTGCAAACACAGCTTGCTCTTGGCACTGCTCACAGAATGGAGTGGGAAAAGACAAGAAAGCTGATGAACTGAAGTCTCCTCACCCACACTGTGCTTCACAGGCCACAGATAAGACACAGACTTTTGGAGCAGGCTGAACTTGTAGAATTCCCTGGAAATGTGAACTCGGGGATATTTCTGGCAAATCTGGAAAGGAAATTATCTTCCATCCGGAGGTTGCAGGATGCAACGTGGCCCTCTTTGCACTGAAAGGTCTCAGTGCTTCTGAGCTGCATAAACACAACTGAAAACGGGACTTGGCTGGCTTGCCAAAACCTCTCTCAGTTTGCTATAATGCCCTGTAACCGTCTTTTGCATTTACAGTTGAAACAGGAAAAGCAGGACTTGGTCCATACCTTGGTGTAGCAATTATGAAGCAACCTAATGGCACTCTGAAACCAGCATCTGAAAGTTATCGGTGTTGTAATGTGCCATAACCTACTACATACCCCAGAAGGGACCTTCATCTTACAAATACTGCTGAGAGATGGACCACAGAGTAACCCAGTGTTTGACCAGAGACCTGGGGTGCACATGCCCTCTTCTCTCCCCCTCCTTCAGTACATTGGCTGAATTAGGAGTCGGGTTGGGATTAGATGCTTGCAAAAGCAGTTGCTTGCAAAGTTATGGGCTTGAGTCTGTTGGATCTGGAACATCACTTGGATTTGGCAAAGAGCTGCTTTCCTTAATTCCCAATCATGTAGAAGCTCCTGGGAATTCATGCTTCTTTAGTGAAAGAAAAATGGAACCATTCCCCATGCATGCTCCACAGCAGCATGTGCATGAGACCACAGCCTGTGTGCCTGGCCCAGGGCAGAGGTGCACAGCACAACACTTCTGCACTGCTCTTCTTGACTGCAACCCCTTCCCCACAATTCAGAGAGTAAGCAAAGCTGCTGACCCAAAAGAGAAAGAAAACATTGAGTCAGCAAGCCAGCAGCTGGTGCTTTCAGACTCTTTTCCATGCACATATGCGCTGACCCTGAACCCTCAGCTGGCTCCTGTGGATCCAGATGGACATGAAGATGAGCCATGGCAGGCATCCTACTTTGTCCCAAGTCCTGGTTGGAATGGGGATGCTTACTGTACTGCAT